AATATAATAATAAAAATAAAAATAATAGGCACTAATATTGCAAGATAATACCAATAACCACAGAAAGCTTGAAAAATATCAGGCACTGATGACTAATGAAGACTAGGTGTGATTGAACCCAGAAAAATAATAGAGAACTAAAACAGTGGCAAACTATATGCTGTAACTTTTATCAGTAACACTAAGTCTATATTAAAATTGGGGATTTGCATCATCCAAGGCTAAATACTAGAATGAGATTAAACAGGGAGGTTGGGCAAAAAGGACAAAAAAGCCAAGGAGGCATTTACATTAGAATATCCACTTGTCTGAGCAAGATGCAGCAATAGCCCCTGAAATTTTATGCCAAGATTTGAACTGGCTTCTCTTGTGTACCAATGGTTCCTGGCTTCAGTTTACTGAGCAGCATGATAGACAATCAGGAAGCTATTGTGGTGATATTATCATTGTTACTGTTATTTGTATTAATATCCTCTTTTTTTTTTTTTTTTTACAAAGAGCTCACAACTTATTTCCACAGCAACAAACCTGTAAGCCTATGTTGGATTTAATCAGTCCAAAATCATGCAGTGAGCTCTATGGTCAAGTAGGGACTTGAATTTCAGTCTTCCTGGTCCAACACCATTATCATTACTACTTTATATATTGGTTCCCATAATATTTCCAGGACATTCTGGAAACATCAAAATGATGAGTGATCATATTAATGCTGAGAAAGAGAGGGAGGGAGGGAGAGAGAGATGGCATTCTCCAATTCTCCAATGATAGGCACATTTGATAGACAGCAGACATGTTCACGTGTTCTTTTCCCCTTTCTCTCCCCCATGGCTAATGGAATCCCTGTCAAAAGGTTTTTTAATCGATTTTCTTAAAAAAAAGAAATGCATGGGTACTTGGTATAAATATTCATCCATTCACACTTCTGAAAATTTCATAAAAATGTGAAACACATCTAATAGATGTGTCAAAGAATGTGGAAATGGGATAATGCTTTTAGCTATCTACTCACTTTGAGAATGATCTGGCACATGGCATACCCGCTGCTCAGGTGCTATGATAGCAAATGGTTATATGGTGGCAAAGAAGAAAATGTTATTGTTGCGTGTGTATGTGTGTGTGAAAGTACTGGTATATTTTATATCTGCAATATTTTATACCAGCATTAGTTGGTACTGCATTAGTTAGCCATTGAAGACAGCAATCCCTATTAGAGACCATGTGGGGCTCTAGGTGGCCATTTTACCCTGGAAGGTATGTATGGAACTGGATTAAGCTAAAGAAGATGGAACTGGAAGTTTGGGAAGCAGAAAATCTTATTTCGCTAGATGAAAATGCCAAGCTAGGAGTATTTATGCAGATCTAAATCCAGAGTCTTTAGAATGTCTGTCGCTAAGTGATTGCATATTCCATTCTTTTCTTCAAGTGAAGACAGCTCTAAGAACACATTCAAAGATATCTTACAAAGCTGGTTTAAGATCATTAGCTTCTCATTTTTTACTCCATGATTCAATCAGAAGGGAAATTCATAGTTCTCTGGACTGAAGGAAACAACTGAAACAACCAGGAATAACTTGATATATCAATGGAATGATTAGTATAATCATAGAATAAACTACCTTGCTCAACTGATGTATTGTTTCCTTCATGCATACATCACTAACTGTATCAGTTGTAACATGTACCAAATTGCTGAGGTTTACAAAAAAAGAAAAAAGAGACCTTGGAAGGAGTTAAGATGTCTCATTAGGCTCCAGGCCAGAATTTTTAGGGGCTTCCACTATACTATGAATGGCAGT